CCGGTGCATGTTGTCTCTCTCCTCCTTTATAGTCCTCTTCCACCAATCCCAACTCTGCTACCCACACTCCAAGTACGCTGCTCTCCTCCAATTAGGAGCAGGTCCTGCAGTTTATTGGTTGAACTGGAGGCAGCTGCGTAGAAGCTGTTTCCTCCTCTCCCAGCGCCATATTGTGGGAGAGCAGATGCATAGAATAAGTCTTAATTCCAGTAACTTAGTCTAGTCCGAGTTGCTCCCCACAACCCCGCAAGTGCCCACGGGGAAGCTCAGCTTCCCAGAGTTTCATGGAGGTTGCTAGGGCTGGGTGCTTTGAAAATGCAACATGGTGTGCTTTTCCTGTTGTTTTCCTGTGGCCTCCAGGACTGGGTTAGACCTGGGGCCTGGAGAGGGATGGGGGACAGGAAACCCAGCTCACAGCAGGCATGGAGTCCCTGTGTCTCTGTGGCTGTCCTGGAGTGCAGAGGGGGAGGGAGGGGCATGCTCATCAGGAGAATCCTGGAGGCCCGGGAAGAGCCCTCAGCACACAGCTGCCTCAGAGAGAACCGCTGGCCTCTTCCTTCTCTTTCTTGCTAGGCAGGGAACAGAATTGGAGTCTGGCTGAGCTTGTCTGAAATCCACTGTGTGAAGGCGACAGTCATTGTCCAGAGGATCTTCAGGGACCCATTACACCAGGAACTGGAGACAGGAAGAAGGCACGAGTGCACTCAGACAGACCAGCAGGCACTGCAGCCCCCAATTGGAGGACACCTGAGCCCACCCTGAGTGACAGACCCTGTGCTGCACAGGTGACACCACTGGCCCTAGGAACTAGACACTGCCCGTGGACAGGGTTCTGCTGTCCCTGGACACTGTGAGGATCTTGAGATGAGCTGTAATTATGTTACAGGAGCCAGCATGAATTTTCGAGTGCCTGCTCCTTGGGTCTCTCCTTTCACATCAAGAGCTGGTGTCACTGTTTCAGAATGGCCAGTCCATGGAGATCTTCCTACATGGTGGATCCAGGGAAACTGAGAAAGCAGGTGTGGGGCCCTCAGTGTTCAGAACGCAGGACATTCATCACACATGGGAAGGGGTTTGGCAACAGCATGTCCTTGGTTGACAAAACAGCCTGAGGTGGCCAACTCTGCAGGAGGCCTTCTGCAGACAAGTAGAAATACAACCCCAAAGGTGCCCACACATGTCTGTGAACAACCTGTCCCCAGAACATCAAGTACTTGGGTTCCTGCTACCCACACAGGGAGACCTGGATTGAATTCCCTGCTCCTGACTTTGGCCCCAGTCCAGCCAGGCAGTTGCACACATTCGAGGACTGAAACTGAGGGTGGCAGTACTCTCTGTGTCTCTCCCTCTCAAACAACTAGTTTCTGTGATGGAGCAGTGGTTTACTAGCCTAAGCATTCGCCTGGAATGGCAGCATCCTATATGGACACCTGTTCGAATCCTGGTTGCTCTTCCTCTGATCCTGCTCTCTGCTATGGCCTGGGAAGGCAGTAGAAGATGGTCCAAGTCCTTGGGCTCCTGCACTCATGTGGGAGACACAGAAAAAACTACTGGTTTATGGCTTCAGATTGGCCCAGCTCTGGCCGTGGTTTCCAATTGGGAAGTGAACCAGTGATTGGAAGGCCTTCTCTCTGTCTGCCTCTCCATGATAATTCTCTTGGTTCAAACTCTGCCACCCGGGCCCAGGAGGGTGGCAGCATTATCCCAAACATTTCCAGAGCCTTTACTGCTGGTCAGTGCAGTGTCCCATGGCTTCTGTCTTGCCTGTCAGCCTGGGGAACAGATGCAGGAGCCCGATTATCTTGGAATCCCCTTCAGGGTCACCTTCATTCTTCTTGACAAAAACTGCATGTTGTCAACTGACGCCCTGCATTACTCCATCCTCTCCATCCAGGAAGGCCGTCAGCCCACTTTCATTTCAAAACCATTCCGCTCACCCTTGGTGAAACCTGCAGATTCTGTCCATGTCATACAAGCCTCTTTTTCAAGGCACAGCCTAGCCACACCCTGGTGTTCTCTTCCAGAACACATTTCATTTGTTGTAATATGGATAGACTCAACTTTCCAAATCTTCAAATTCTAGTTTCTTTTTGTTCAGAATTCCCAGAAATTAAATTCTCTTTTTGGACGTTACTATAAAGAGTCAGATGGCCATTGGCCAGTGCTGTGACATAGAAGCCTAAGTCCCCACCTGCAGTGTCGGCATCACGTATGGGCACCATTTCAAGTCCAAGCTGCTCCACTTCTTATCCAACTCCATGCTAAGGTGCCTGGAAATTAAGCGGAAGTTGGACCACTTGCTTGGACCCCACACACATCTGGAAGGAGCTCCTGGCTCCTGGCTCCTGGCTTTGGCCTGACCCTGCCCTAGCTATTGGGGATTGACCCAGCAGCTGACAATCTCTCTCCCAGTATGTCTGTATCTCTCCCTTTCAAATAAATTCTTTTGAAACACTGCCAGAAGGCAAGCCCCTGAATCAGCACTTCGCTGAGAATTCACCTCCATTTAATGTCCAGTTTCATTCCTGGCAAGTTATACCTTCTAGAAAAATGCCAGAAACCAAGTTCCCTGCCTCTTACAAACAAGGTTCACCTTGTTCCTGGTCTTCAATCACATCTATTCCTCATTTCCACTGCAGACCTCACCAAAATCCCCATTCCCATCCATAGCTCAGTGTGCATCTGAAAATGCCTCCAGTGGGGACCTGTTCCCCAGGGGCAAAGCTGCTTCTGTACTTGCAGGATTCATTAGACCTGCACCTCAAGTCTCAGGCCAATACTCTGTGTCTGGTGAGACCCTGCGAGGACTTATGGAATATGGACAGTTGTCCATGAAGCTCTGTGTCAGATGGGGTCTGGGATCACTTGCAGGCACTAAAGTCACCATTGCTAAAGTCCTGTACATAAATGGGTAGCATTTGCATTGGACCAAATATTCTCCCATATGTTTTCAGTTGTCCCTAAATATCTTATTATACCTAAAGAGACTATGATGTAAATGGTATACGTGTGTGTAGAAGAATTCAAGGGGAAAAAGATGGTATATGGACAGTACAGATGCATTCTTTTTCAATTCTCAAAATCACTGCGAATGGAACCTGCACTTGTGGTCCCTGGATCCCAAGGGCATCATGGGATAAGGCACTGTGTCATGTGTCATGTAGGCTAGGAAGTCCCAAGACTGCTGGCAGATGGCTGGCCTTCCAGGAGAGACACTTGGATTCTGGCCTGGAGTCCCAAGTGCAGGAATGGAAACATTCAAGGCAGCCAGGAGGTTTCCCTGAATTTGCAGGCGTTTGGGGAGTGAACCAGTAGGTGGAAGGTATTTCTCTCTCTCTCTCCACCCCAGCACCACCACCTCCCTCTCCCTTTTCTCCCACTGTTCATCCTCTGCCTCTTCACTGTAATGCTGCTTTTCAATAAACTTTTTTTTTTAAAGAAGGCAGGTGCTGACATCGTGGGACCCTGGGTAAAGCCATCAATATGACAGCGGCTTCCATGTCAGAGTGCCTGGTTCAAGACCCAGCTGCTTCTAAGCCATATTTCCTGTAGTAATGGGAGGAAGCAGATGGCTCAAGTTGTTGGATTCCTTATTCAGCCCAGTTTAGCCGTGGCTGCCGCAGGCATTTGAGATGTGAATCAGATGGTACATCTCTGTGTGTGTGTTTCATTCTATGTAGCTCTCCCTCTCTTATGTTTGCCTTGCAGATAAATAAATCAGTCTCTTTAAATATTGGAAAACCTGGTTATGGCACTGTGGTATAGTGGGCTTTGCCTCCACCTACAGTGCCTGCTTCCCATGTGGACTCTGGTTCAAGACCCGACTGTTCCTCTTCTGATCCGGCTCTCTGCTATAGCTTGAGAAAAGCAATCTACTTCATATATAAATAGAGAGAGAGAGAGAGAGAGAGAGAGAGAGAGAGAGAGAGAGATACAAGGGTAAAACATCGGCACACCCAATATGAGATGTAATGTATTATAACACTGAAATTTAAAAATCCAAGTGATAGAGAAAAAAATGCAATGGTATGGGCTAACAGGATATTTGCAATAACATTCCACGTTGGGGTGAGAATGCTTTTGAACTACAGAATGCCAGGATCCAGTCTTCAGGAAGAATTCTATTAAAAATCTAGTATTAGACTTGAATATAATAACTGACACAGGCATGAATGGTTAACGCATGGTAAAATTGTTAAAGGAAGGCCATTTTCAAACAGGAGATTTATACATCTTCCAAGCAGCACTCTCCAAAGTGTTTTATTTCAACTCTGAAATTTTATTATCCAAAGTGTATGATTTTTACAGAACAAAAGTAAAAGCAGGTATCAAAATCAGCAAAGAGTTTGTAAAATTTCTGCAGAGAGTTTCACCTAACTTAGGGCTGGTGAAAGTGGTATCCAAGGAAAAACCTAGATGACTGCTGATTTGTCTCTTGGCATAAATTACCAGGTGGTTTGTTCTGGAGGTTCTGAATAACTTGTCATCATCAGTGGTCAGTTGTTGAGAACCAATTCGAGTTGTCAAACAAAGCAAAAAAAATTTTTACATTTTTTTGGTTGCATTGTGGCATTTTACTGAAGCGGCATTTATTTTTTCTTCTTAGTAATTTCTTTTTGTTTTGAAATTTTTTCTTTTCTTTTTAGCATTTTCTTATTTAGAAAGATAACTAACTGAAATAGCATTGTACCTTGTTTCCTTAGTATTGCTTTTTATGTTTTAAGTTTGAAATTTTGCAAAGTTGTTAAATTTTATTAATTTGGCATTTTCTCCATTAAGTGAAACAGTGAATAGGAATGGCATTTTACACTTGTCTGAATAATTGCTTTTCTCTTTTGTCATTTGTAAAGTATAATCATTTTTAAATTTAAAATTTTTTTAGCATTTTGTATTTACAAAAACACTGAACTGAAATGGAGTTTTACTTTTTTTGCTGAGTTTAAATTTTTGAAATAAATTTAATTTATATATATTTCTAAATTTTTCCTATTTAAAAAGTTACTAAAATGAAGTGGCATTTTAATTTTCCTATTACTATTTTCCTATTTTTTGTTTTTTTATTGTTTTTAAAGTTTTTAAAATATTTAATTTTAAGTTTTTCAGTATTTTTCTTTCAAAAACACATAAGTGACATTTTTTCTAATTTTTTCTTTTTAAATTTTTTAACAATTTTTAAAATTTTTTTAATCTTTCCTTTTAAAAAAACAAGCAGTACAATTTTTCTTTTCTATTTTTACTTAAATTTTTTTTTCTTTTCAAATTTTTAAATTTTTTTTGGAATGTTTCTTTTTATAAACACTTAACTAAAACAGGGAATACATGTCGGGACTTAAATCTAAATTTTTGAGATTCCAGTTACACTCCTGGACACTGGAGACACTTCTGGGCCTGGACAGCGATATCTTAATGAGAAGTTGTAGATTTTAGGAGCCCAAGATGTGCTGACAGGGTGTCTAAGGCAGCTGTTACACTGAGAGGAGGCACACTCAGGTGGAAACATAATTCCCTCCCTAGGATCCCAATTTTCATGAAAGGAAAACAATTGTGTCATCACAGGCATGACAGACAGTGGAAGTAAGAATGGTAGCTGTGAGAAACAGGTCCACCACAGGGCAGCGGTGCCATTGGCTCGGTTTGTTCTTGGACCAGGAACAACTACTAAGCAGCAGGAGTCCAGAATCTTCAAGGACTCGGTTTTCCATGACAAGGGTGGGGGGGGCAGGCATATGGCCCCTCCTCATCCTGCAGCTGCCTCAGGCCGGCAGGAACACGGCCTTGCTGTTTGCTGGGGCTCTGGATACCTTGGCCCACGTCCTGCATCAGGAGCCCCCAGTTCTCCTGCAACACTGAGTGGAGTTGGCAGGACCAGCAGCTGTAAGACATGAGCGTCCTCGTGACGAGGTCCTGCCCGCATCTGTGCTGCCTGACTCTGGACATGGAGAGAGGAGTGTTCAGAGAGGTGTCTGGTTCCTTGATGCAGGCTCAGTCCACCTCGCCCACCTGGGCCCTCCCGGCCACACTGCTGCATTCATCACCATGAACTTGCTGTTATCACGCCCATCAATGGCCACCTCCTGGGTTGATGACCGGACGTCCGCCAGGCTGCTGCTCACTCCCTTTTTGCTCAGGCTCTGAGGGGTCACCCTCTCCACAGTTGTTAGGATACAGAGGAAGGAGCACATCTTTAGGATGTACAGCTCAACAGACAGCTTTCACCCACTGACCGATGCCAGGGTCAGGGGACCTGATGGGCACACAAGATGTTCTCTGCCTCCTGTGGGGATGTGGGAGGGAGCACACAGCACTCCCTGCATCGGGTGCTTGGCCAAAGAGTGAGGCTGAGTGTAAAATTGAGGAAAGCATCAGAGATCCTCAGGATGCAGACCCCGAGCCAGACACCTGGCCTGCGCCTTCACACAGTCAGCGTTCCCATCATGGAAGACAGCAGAAGGGGGAGATGGTTGGGGTTCAAAAGGAGGAAAGAGCCCCTTCCTGTCCTTTTGAGCCCCAAAGTCTCCTCCTCCTGCTGTCCTCTATGCGGATGCTGGCTGTGTGAAGGAGAGGGCCAGCTGTCTGGGTCAGGGTCCACATCCTGCAGAGTCCTATCCTCTCCTCTGCTCACATGCAGCCTTGTGCACAGGGCGCTGTGTCTCTGACACTGCCCACACCGAGCTCGCCCCATCCAAAGGCAGTGTGTGCCCAGGGTCCTATGCTGTTTGCTTCCAGCTCCTCCTGACCTCAGATCTCTACAGGAGGCAGTTGGAGAGGAGCCAGGTGGTGTTCTCTCCAGAGCAGCTGTGGAGTCAGGCCTGGGTCTCCTTAGGTGTTCACTCGGACTGGAGGTGGAAGACTGTGCCAGCTCTCAAGGAAGCAGCCTAGTGGATAAAAATAGCCGAGGGCAGTTCATGGTGTTGAAATTGTGTTCTTGGTGTTCTGGTTGCTGTTGAAGTGGAGCTCCTGTGTTAGATGTTTGGAAGAGGTGGGGATGTTACAATCAGCAATACTGTTCTGTCCTTCCAACTGTACTTGGGATCTGAAAGAGGGAGAGAAGAAAAATCAAAGGAGAGCTGGGTCAGGTCCAGGTGAGAGCTGAGCCTGCATCTGGGCCACAGTGGGGCAGAAGCCGGGCAACTCAATTCCAGTGGGGAGACTGGCTGAAGGGGAGCCCTGGGCTGCTGAGAGGGAAGTGGTAGCCAAATGAGCAGAGTCCTGCCCTGAACTCCAGCCCAGCTCTGCAGTGCTGGGGAACCAGGGCCCTTGGCCTCTCCTAACCAGGAGTGGGTGATGTCACCCCACTTCCTCCTGCTCTCTGGTGCATTAGAAATGGATTAGTTTTCTGCAGTAAGCAAAGAGAGCCGGGAGTGTAACCACAGCACAACTCATGTCAACAGAACAGACACCAAGTTTCTCTGAATATGACTCCACATCTAGTTACACCTAGGACCATTCTGCTGTGTGCCTAATAGCTCACTCACTCAACTGTGAATGGAACATTAACTTAAAACAGGCACTCCTCAGTCATCCTAGAGTTTCCCCATTGTTTTTTTTTCAGTTCCCCTAAGAAATTTTCTTTTTGAGAATATCCTGTTTGTATACCGGTCAGAGGGAAGGACAAACAGGTGAGAATGAGACCTAAGAATCTGCATTGGAAATCGGCCTAGGAATAAAATCAGATAAAATGTGATTGTTCAATGTATATTTCTCAACCCAATAGAGGACTTGCAATCAAGTGAGTGGATGGTGAACAGCATGTTTTAGGGAGAGAAGTTCAACTGTAAACATTTTAACTTGATTATGAGGGGAGGTATCCTATTTTGTGGGTCAGGTTTCTACATGACAAGGGTTTCTTACTGTATCTTCTATTTCAAATTATTGATCCAAACAGAGAGGTTACAGTTCTACCCTATCTGAACAAACAGAAATGAGCTATAATCTGTGCCCAGTGTAAGAAGGAACAAATACATCTAAGACACACACACAGGATTACCTCTGTCTAGGTGTGAAGGCCTAGGAATCTGAAGGTCAGTGCCCACATGTTGGTCTGTGGTTTTCCCTTCGTCTCCTGGTCAGGGAATCTCCATGCAAGGTGGCACTCCATGGGCTGTGGTTTTCCCTTCATCTCCTGGCCTGGGAATCGGCACGCAATCTTCCTCTCTGTGGGCTGTGGTTTGCCCTTCATCTCCAGGCCAGGGAACCTGCAGGCCAGTTCGCATTTCCTGGGCTTCCATTTTCCTTTGATAACATTTTCTTTTGGGGTACTTGGGACATCACTGGGGCTGATGCTATGACTCTCACACTTGCTGGTGATGGGATCTTCGTGAGGACCTCCCTCCAGCTGGGAACGGGTCTTCCTCTCAGGGGCAGCAACAAAACTCAGTTCTGAAATAGAACCACAGCCATCAGGATTGGTACTCATGCTCTCTCTCTGGCAGCCAGGCCTGCAGCAGAGGGACAACAAGTAAGGAAAGGGGCCCTGCACAGTCATGTCCAAAGTGGGAGATGAGATCTGCACAGACACTAAAATGTTTTCATTTGGGTTGATTTTATACATATTCACTTATAATTTATCAGTAGGCAAAAGTAATAAACATGGCTCAGAGGATCACAATATTCAACAAAGTGGGACTAATAAAACACACAGCTCTTAAGATTTTAGGGCACAGAAACCACACTGGATATCTGTTGAAGGTTTGGGGGGATGGAGCAGGATCATCTAACCTGGAGGGCATTGTAATGAGAGACAAGGACAGGGGACCATTCACAGCTGGAATGAACAACACTAGCACAAGAACACATGCATTTCATACATGCACATGCTTTGCTGAACATACACCAAGCACATCGACTCATAGGATATATGCCTTCAGTGCCTGTCATATAGATAATAATATATATGATGTGACCATCACTTTTCTGGTCAGTTGAAGGGGGAACCTAGTTACAGGCACCTGAAGAAGGGAGAGACAAGCTAGGGTGAAACACAAAAGTCAGGAAGAAATCCCAGGTGGGAGGTAAGGCATTGCTTTGGCCTAGCACACACATCTCCCTCCTGAGACAGTGTCTGTGCACTTGCCACCCTCCCCATGGCTGGCCAGCCCTGGCACTGGGTGTTTGAGACAAAGCCAGACAACCACTGGTCTGTGGCAAAGACAAGTTCAAGGCCTAACTGGGACCCTGTGTGCAAAAATTCCGAGGGGAGAGACCAGGAACTTTCAGGCCATGGGACACTCCTGAGCTGGAGTTCTATCTGAGAACCTCAATGAGGTGTTGACCCTGCTCAGCAACGAAGCACACCAACACCTTCCTAGTGGGAGATGTTGTGCAGGGCCTTTATAAGTTCTTGTTTGCAGACCAGAACTTTTCTACTGATATTTGAAATTCTCTCAACACAATTTGTTACAGAAGAAAAGTTTTAAGTATGAATACCCATAGCAGCCACATCGCTGGCATGTCTGCTGAAAACAAGTGGACTGAGCCTACAGACAAGGGGTAGGCAAAGGAGTGGTATCTGATTGCAATGCACACAAGGTGGGGTGACCTGAGAGAGTGACCTTGTTGAGCCTCAGGATCCTCTCCCCAAGGTGGGGACAGAATCTCCACCAGGAGAGGTCCAGTGAGGGTTGCATGGATCAGGATGGCACAGGGTCTAGCACAGCACAGTTCCCCATGAGAGTGGCCTTCATAGCTGGGTGTGAATCGCTGTGTCCTGGGATGACTCTGCACATCTCTGTATGTCTGTACAGAGGAAAAGTGCATGGTCTCACCAAGAAAAGGTGCCTGCTGATCTATAGCACTGGGGGGACAACTGTCGTTGCCAATTCTACTGCAGAACACTGAGAAACATGGAAGGGCATCAGGATTTTTGCTTTTCCTACTGAATGATTTGATGAGTACAGGTGCCTCAAACCCCAAAAGATTCCTCCTGAAAGTGTAAAACCTCATCGAAGCTCAGATTCAAGGAAGTTGGACTTTTTCTCTGCCCCCCTATGAAGCCATACTCCAAGGCTCCTACTCAACAAGAGGCACTCTGCCTGTGATGACGTGAGGGACCTCTCAGCCTCACTCAGATACTGAATAGATTCCTGTCCTGGTACAAGGTTATGGAAGCTTTGTATGAGAATAAAATGCCAAGTTTAGACACTGGATTAAAACTACAGACCTCATATGAGCACAAATCAGTGCTGTGAAGCAGAAGATGAAAACCACACCATGGACACAGGTGTGGGACTGGACTGCTGTGGTTAGCACCAAGCTGCTTCAGAGAAAACAGAGTCTGCTGACTAAGGATACCCAGTATCAGATAACTAAGGAAACATTGCACAGACTGCCAAAGTTTCTTCCTGACTTTTGTGTTTCACCTTAGCTTGTCTCTCCCTTCTTCAGGTGCCTGTAACTAGGTTCCCCCTTCAACTGACCAGAAAAGTGATGGTCACATCATATATATTATTATCTATATGACAAGCACTGAAGGCATATATCCTATGAGTCGATGTGCTTGGTGTATGTTCAGCAAAGCATGTGCATGTATGAAATGCATGTGTTCTTGTGCTAGTGTTGTTCATTCCAGCTGTGCATGGTCCCCTGTCCTTGTCTCTCATTACAATGCCCTCCAGGTTAGATGATCCTGTTCTATCGCCCTGAGAAGTTTGGAGGATGCTGTTTACAATTGCAACTGGTGTTAAAATTAAGAACATCACAGTGACTTGTTCAAGAAGCCTCTCCAAGAGAGATGGTTGTGGCTTGGTGTTTGCCATCCTGCATTCCCATCCCATCCTTCCCTGTCTTGACGTCAAAATCTGCACCTCGAAAGTGGGCCTGGTGACAGCCAAGGGATTCCCCCACTTGATGACTATGAACAAATCCACCCAAGAGCCACATCCAGACTGAGATACATCCCCAGGGCCTGAGTGCACAGTGGTCTGTCTCACCCAACACAGGTGCACCAACCCAAGACTACAGAGGCCACCTGGGAGAGCAGTGGAGTGTTCCTGTTCACAATGAAGCACTCACTGTCTACAACAAGAGCAGAGCAGACAGGCTGTTTCTCCAGTGAGGACCAGGTGCTCCTAGTATGGGACCAGTCAGAAGCTTCCAGAAGAAGTGTAGGAGTCAAACACGTACCATGAGAGTCTTGTGAGACATCTTGATCTTCAATCTCTGGAATCTCCCTGATGAGACTGGAGGGAGGGAAAGGTGGGTGAGAAACATAAAGGGAACAGAAAGCCCCTTTCCAAGCTGTTCCAAAGAGGCAGCTTCCAGTAGTGGCTGGGCTGAGCAATGGGCCACCCACAACTTAGTCCCTATCTAGGAAAGACTGGCTTCTAATTCCCTAGTAGTCCATGCTACACTGTCTGCTCTGCCTCCGAGTTACCTGGAAGTGTATGTGACAACTTGCTCTTGTACCTCCACTTCGTGATATTGATTTTCTGCAAACAAATTCAGAGAGATTGACCAGGTTAAGCAGGTTTTCGGTCAGATATGGGTATCCAATGGCCACTACTACAAGGGGACAAATTGTTCTAGTGTGAGAACAGGAGACTGTGACAGAAATCCTCCAGGAGGACAAAATCAACATCAGGAGATGGCTTGTTGAGCCATCCTGGGCAAGGGGTCAAATCTCCCTGTTCACAGTTGGATCAGCATCTCAATAACCTCTGTCCAGAACCCTTAGAAACAGCCTGCAATGGTCCTCAGGGATTCTAAGCTCACAGCCCAAGAACTTCCTAGGAGGCAAACTGCAGTTGTCAGGCTGCTCTCATTAAAGGACCCAGGTTGCTGACTGTGAAGAGGAGGTAGAACACTGGGAGAGAGCTATGCATGGAGTCTGATGCCCTGGAATTGAAACCTGTTTGATGCCACACAGAATCTTGGCTATTCTAAGAGTTGCTCATGAATAATCTCCCTCTTGTCTATGGGAACAATACAAGCAATTCAAGAGCATGTATTTCTGGATGAACTCTTCCCTAGTGAATTCATCTTCAAATGGAAATGCCATTGAGAATATGAATGACAGAGATGCCTATATGGATGCTGTGGCCTGGACAAGCATGGATGTCAAAGGGCAGAGCTGAGGTTTGGGATTGAAGAAAAAGTAAGCAAGTGGCGACAGTGATCCTCCAAGGTTCCCACCAGGAGGGAGCAAACACCACCGGGGCACATGCTGCTGAGCTTGCTGTGAAATGGTCACAGCTCTGTTCCATAACAAATAAACAATCATGAATTCTAACTCCTGCTTACAGCTCAATTCAGGATTTTGAGTCTACAACCACAAGTCTGTAGGTCTGGCACGTAGCAATGACTTCACTCATCCTCAGTGGGGATAGGAGTACAAGGACAGAGCAGTCAGCAGGGGCAGAGATGAAGGTTTACCTACTCTCAAAAGGGATCATTCTGTACATAAACTGCCCACCAATCTGCTCTGGCTTTCTGAGCATAAGCAGCCCCTGTATGCTTGCAGTCAGACATCCCAGGCACAACTGGAGCCTAGAAATGTTCATCCAGGGCACTCTGTTCTGTGAAACAGCAACCACTTTTGACAGAAATGCAGATGGGCATGCCTCACTGGGAGCCTGAGTGCAAAAAGCCCGAGGGGAGAGACCAGGAACTTTCAGGCCATGGGGCACTCCTGAGCTGGAGTTCTATCTGAGAACCTCAGTGAGGTGCTGACCCTGCTCAGGGACGAAGCACACCAATGCCTTCCTAGTGGGAGAGGTTTGCAGGAACTTTAGAAGTTCTTCTTTGTAGACCGGAACTTTTCTACTGATATTTGAAATTCTCTCAACACAATTTGTTACAGAAGAAAAGTTTTAAGTATGAATACCCATAGCAGCCACATCGCTGGCATGTCTGCTGAAAACAAGTGGACTGAGCCTACAGACAAGGGCCAGGCAAAGGAGTGATCTATGATTGCAATGCACACAAGGTGGGGTGACCTGGGAGAGTGACCTTGTTGAGCCTCAGGATCCTCTCCCCAAGGTGGGGACAGAATCTCCACCAGGAGAGGTCCAGTGAGGGTTGCTTGGATCAGGACAGCACAGGGTCTAGCACAGCACAGATGCCCATGAGAGTGGCCTTCATAGCTGGGTGTGAATCGCTGTGTCCTGGGATGACTCTGCACATCTCTGTACGTCTGTACAGAGGAAAAGTGCATGGTCTCACCAAGAAAAGGTGCCTGCTGATCTATAGCACTGGTGGAAGAACTGTCGTTGCCAATTCTACTGCAGAACATTAAGAAACAGGGAAGGGCATCAGGATATCTTGCTTTTCCTGCAGAATGATTTCATGAGTGAAGGTGCCTCAAACCCTAAAGATTCCTCCTGAGAGAAAGTGTAAAAGTTCATCAAAGCTAAGATTCAAGGAAATTGGACTTTTCCTCTGCCCCCCAACCCCCATGAAGCAATACTCCAAGGCTCCTACTCAACAAGAGGCACTCTGCCTGTGATGACATGAGGGACCCCTCAGCCTCACTCAGATACTGAATAGATTCCTGTCCTGGTACAAGGCTATGGAGGCTTTGCATGAGAATAAAATGCTGAGTTTAGACAATGGATTAAAACTACAGACCTCATATGAGCACAAATCAGTGCTATGAAGCAGAAGATGAAAACCACACCATGGACACAGGTGCGGGACTGGACTGCTGTGGTTAGCACCAAGCTGCTTCAGAGAAAACAGAGTCTGCCTACCAAGGATACCTAGTGTCAGATAACTAAGGAAACATTGTACAGACTGCCAAAGCTTTAAGCCTGAGAAGTTTGGAGGATGCTGTTTACGATTGCAACTGTTGCTAAAATTAAGAACATCACAGTGACTTGTTAAAGAAGCCTCTCCAAGAGAGATGGTTGTAGCTCAGTGGTTGCCATCATGCCTTCCCATCCCCTCCTTCCCTGCCTTGACGTCAAAAGCTGCACCTTGAAAGTGGGCCTGGTGACAGCCAAGGGATTCCCCCGTTGGATGACTATGAACAAACTCCACCCAAAAGCCACATCCAGACTGAGATAAGTCCCCAGGGCCTGAGTGCAGAGTGGTCTGTCTCACCCAACACAGGTGCACCAACCCAAGACTACAGAGGCCACCTGGGAGAGCAGTGGAGTGTTCCTGTTCACAATGGAGCACTCACTGTCTACAACAAGAGCAGAGCAGACAGGCTGTTTCTCCAGTGAGGACCAGGTGCTCCTAGTATGGGACCAGTCAGAAGCTTCCGGAAGAAGTGCAGGAGTCAAACACGTACTGTGAGAGTCCTGTGAGACATCTTGATCTTCAATCTCTGGAATCTCCCTGATGAGACTGGAGGGAGGGAAAGGTGGGTGAGAAACATAAAGGGAACAGAAAGCCCCTCTCCAAGCTGTTCCAAAGAGGAGGCTTCCAGAAGAGGCTGGGCTGAGCAAGGGGCCACCCACAACTTTGTCCCTATCTGGGGAAGAATGACTACTAACGGTGCAGACAGGATGCAATGTCTTCCATTTGAGGAGGCTCCTTGCTGACCACCTGGAGTAGATGACCTGAACATTAAAACAGGGCAGCTTTCATGTGAGGAAAAATGAAGTGCTCATATGAAGCACGTGGCAAACAGAAAGCCAGGTAAGACAGAAACACCACTGCCTTCACTGAGAATAGTAAGTATGTGTAGATATATAATATTTACACATGAATCAACTACAGCCAAATATTAAATGTTATTAGATCTATGTGTGCTTGTAGACTTCTTTATGCTTATTTGTACTGCTTGAAGTCAATATAAAGTCAACAGGCAAACAGAACTCTCATCTTCTTGGAGAAAGAGTGTAGGGTTTGAGGTGATAGGTGAGTAGCAGAGATATTGAAAGGATATGGAGACAGAAGCAGAGAGAAACAGAGGATTTCCTCTGTGATGAGGTCATTAGGGACTCAGCCTGTAGAAATGACTCTCAGTTGGTCCACTAGTAACCATGAGTATTTGGGAAATGAAAACTGGCTTCAACAGATTTGTGTAAACTACATGCAGAGTCAATGAATTCCCCTTTTGGGATACTGGAGACTACCACGGATTTAGCCGTCAGTCTTATTCTCAGTGCTGAGGCACTATTTTCTGTCGGGTGGTTTCACGTGATTAATGGGGGGCAGAGAAGCTCATGAGAAGAGGAGACCTGTGAGCTGTACCCTGCCCTTCACTGCACGTGAGAGAGGGGCAATGATGGCAAGGAATCCCTGGAGAGGCTCCTTCATGGAGTCAGCCTGCTGCGGGTCATTACATGGAAAAGGTAGGGAGAAGTGGAAACCCAGACTAGTACCCTAGTGATGGCAGACAGCAGTGCTGACGGGGTACCGCTGGGTTGCCTCAATGGATGGGAGATGCACAGTGGCACTGCTCTTCTTCTCTGGACCTGGAGTCTGCCCGTGTCAGCACTAAGCTCGCTGCCCAGGGTTCCTAAGACTCACCTGGTGTGTGATAGGGCTTGTGTTTCCTCTTGCACTTCATCATTGTCATGTTCCTTTTCTGCAAATGAATTCAAATAGGCACAGTCATCTAGGATGATCCCCTCAAAGCCTGTACAATGCGCTGTCCAGCACTAGCACAGCACACCAGTATCCTCAGTTTCACTGCTGACTCCTCAGATAGGAATTGTCTAGAGGGTGGAGGTCATTTCTGAGGGAACTAGCTTGTTCATTTCTCTTGACACATGAGGTAAACCTCCCTATTCCTCCAGCCATCACACCAATAGTTGCTGACCTGATTCCCTACACAAATGAAACAAATTTTCCCAAGTGTGGGTGCTGTGGCATAGCAGGTAAAGTAGCTGCCTTTAACCCCAGGATCCATGTGAATGCCAGTTCAAGTCCTGGCTGTTCTACTTCTGATCCAGATCCCTCTAATGTACCTGGGAATGCAGTAGAAGATGGTCCAGTACTTGGGCCCTGCACCCACATAGGAGACCTGGAGGAAACTCCTAGTTCCTCCCTGGGCCTGGTCCAGTCGATGCCATTGTGGCCATGTGGGGAGCAGACCAGAGTATGCAAGAGTTGCCCCCCTCTCTCTCTCTCTCCCTGTTTCTCTCTCTAATTCTGCCTTTCAGAAGGTAAAATCAAATCTAAAATAATATTCTCTGGAGACGCTTGGTTCCTAGTGTGATTCCTTTCCATGAGAGGAAGTGCAGTGCCCATGGTTCTCAAACACGCTATCTTGGTAGTTTGTGGTTTACCATATTTTGTACATTGAGGATAAGATAAAAGGTGGAACAGGTGAATTTTCAGTTCTGGGTATCAGAATGCATGTGTGCCGCACAAGAGAAAACTGGGCTACTCATGGAATCTCTAAGCATAGGTCTCAGACCTGCAGCCTGGGGACACACTACTAAAGGAATGGCAGAACATTCTGTATGTGTGGTAGGTGAAATGATGCCAACGTTGAAGGGACAGACAACATGGTTGGTTTCAATGAAACAGGGGGAGTATCTTGACTGCAATGGAGACGAGCACGCTGCTGGCCCTGACAGGAAACAATGTCACATGACAGGGACGGGAATGACTCGTGTGATCAACACTGCAGGGGGCAGAGGGGTCTGCTTCATTCAGAACGGATGGCAGAGACAAGCATGAGATGTGCTGCTTAGGTTGGTGTGCATCTGTGACATTCTTCTGGCAATGCCTGAGCACTGGAATCTGAGTGACACAGCCACACAAGGAATGGGAGGACAGCAAGGCTGGATGGGCCAACCACACCTGTGCAACAGACTGGTTGAAAAAGCACAGATGCTGAGAATGTCTCAGACCATCCCATGTCCAGGAGCCCTCTCAGTCAGGTGGGAGTGATGAGTGCAAGGATAGTGCGGGCTCCTTGGCAAGCAGAGGGGGTTGTATCACCTCACAGTGGGGGACTCACCACCTGCATCTGGAGCAGAGAGCATGTCCTGATGCTCCAGGGAGCACCAGCTGCTCCACGTGGAATGGTCAAGCTCAGAAACGACTGGAGAAATCGAGGGAGTGAGGTAGCACTCGTCCAGCGAATCATCTGGGTCTTCCTGCTCTTGCTCCTCTGGGAGCTCCCTGCTGAGATGGGAGGGCAGAGACACTGAAGACACGCATCACAGGTACAGAAGTGACTTTGTCATCAGACTACAGGTTAAAATATGTGAGGGATGTTCAAAGGGGGAATATAGAGGGAAACAATGCAAAAGGGAACGTTAGGAACAGAGCCATTTCATCATTGGCTGAATGTTCCAAATGGCTCTAGTCACCAGTTTCCCCAGCATTTTGATTCCCTAGTAGTCCATGCTACACTGTCTGCTCTGCCTCTGAGTTACCTGGAAGTGCATGTGACAACTTGCTCTTGTACCTCCACTTCATGATATTGATTTTCTGCAAACAAATTCAGAAAGATTGACCAGGTTATGCAGGTTTTGGGTCAGATATGGGTATCCAATGGCCACTACTACCAAGGGGACAGATTGTTCTCGTGTGAGAACAGGAGACTGTGACAGAAATCCTCCAGGAGTACTAAGTCAACATCAGGAGATGGGCTTGTTGAGCCATCCTGGGCAAGGGGTCAAATCTCCCTGTTCACAGTTGGATCACCATCTCAATAACCTCTGTCCAGAACCCTTAGAAACAGCCTGCAATGGTCCTCAGGGATTCTAAGCTCACAGCCCAAGAACTTCCTAGGAGGCAAACTGCAGTTGTCAGGCTGCTCTCATTAAAGGACCCAGGTTGCTGACTGTGGAGAGGAGGTAGAACACTGGGAGAGAGCTATGCATGGAGTCTGATGCCCTGGAATTGAAACCTGTTTGATGCCACACAGAATCTTCGCTATTCCAAGAATTGCTCATGAATAATCTCCCTCTTGTCTATGGGAACAATACAAGCAATTCAAGAGCTCTCTCCCCAGGCCCTTTAGGATTTATGTATCTAAAATCTAGGAGTGTTGCTATAGTACTGACTCATCCTATCAGACTGATCCTGGTGAATAAGGGTAGAGGAGTTTCTATAGAAGGCTGAATGAACTCCATAACACCTCACATAAATAAATCTATGCAGTTATAGAGAAACTTTGAACACTGATTTTGTAGGGACATTCCTGGATTCAGCTATGTTTTTTGAACTGTACAAGAAGTACAGTATAAAAGAATTTATGTCCTGGTTTTGAGATGATTGCATAGCTAAGATAAGCTGTCTTAAAGGAGATAGAGACTAGGGATGGAAGTAGGGAAACTAGGACCACAACTTGGCCCACACATGGGAAGTGTTACCAAAAGCCTGCATGGGGCTAGAACTCCAGGGATGCAGTAGTAGAACAGAATGATATCACTGCAGGTGACAGCAGGCATTATTTCTAAGTTAGAGTGTCTGAAAGGCACTTCCTACACAGGGCCTCTGTATGTTCCCATAGGCTAGGGTGCAGTGAGACAAACAGCATCTGAGGGGAGGGAAGCTCCTTGACTCTCCTGATGTCTATGTTCAGTGCCACAACCTGGACCCTGACTGAAACCAACTTGTGTCTGCAGGGCCTGTGCTCAAAAGCAACCCTCCACCTGAGAGCCATTGTGTACAAAGAATGGAGAGGCTACCTGTGAGAACGGTGACAGGTTCTTCTTTCTTGTGCGAACAAGCGTGTTCCCCGTCTACACCTAGCACACCGTGGGTGTCCTCAGCATCAGGAGACAGTTGCACAGTGCCCTCAGGCAGGCAGGAGTCACTGGGCAGGTGGTCAGCAGCACCAGTGATAGATGTTTCCTGCTGTGAACTTTGTGGGGTTTCCATTTCATCCACTTCCAAGAGCTCCCTGAGAAGCCAGGTGGGATAAGGATGACAGAGATGAAACCAAGAAGGAAGAGACACCAGGGAGTTGGCTGGTTTGGATGGGGTGCATAAGGGATCAGTCATAGACAGCATAGAGGTGGTTCCCTCCACTCTGGACACTGTGTGGCTGCCTAGGGGGAGAGGGCTTGGGAAGAGATCAGCCTCTGCTCATCACACTCAATACACAGCAGCTAATGAAGAAGCAGCCTCCACTGTCACTGCATGGCACAGTCACAGCACAAGCACACATTGACAGCCATGCGGGCTGACACCCTGTGCTCAGGTTGGGTTGTTGCAGTGTCCTGCAGCCATGTGATCAAGGTTCTAGGGGCTTGGCAGATTCTAGAGATGTGCTACCTTCTGGGCCTTCTCTTAACCAAGTCACAGGACAGCAAACATGGTTTGTAGAGGTGCTTTTCTGCAGTTTAACCTGGCTGGATTCTTCCTAAATGCTCCCTTTGCACATTGCCTCTTTGCTAGTTTCTCTGGGGAGAACTTCAGCTAACTCTGTAGAAAGCAGACGTACATCTTCCTCGCTTTTCCAGAAAGCAGAGAACAGGGGTTCCCTTTGTGGGCAGGCAACAACTAAGGCTGTGAGTTCATGATGGATCCTATTAGCAACTAGGACCAGGACAACAGACAACTACTTTAACAGGGGGATTTCCTAGTTGTCAAGGAAGGACTCAACACAATCTGCAGTTGTGTTTCTGTGTGCGTCTCTACTCCATGACTGTCTTGGCCCCTTTTCTGTTCTTTAGGAGACCCTGTGCATCCTTCACCCATTTGTTGCCAGCTCCTAATCATTCACTATTACCTGTCAGCAATAGGTCCTTGTGCTGGTGTTTCCTCCTCTTCAATATTTTCTGTAAACAAATTCAGAAATGTCCAATCAGATATTATAACCCCCCCACTACAATCAAGGTGGCCTCTGTGTGCATATGAATATCTACATATGGGCCAATAGTGGACAAAAACTTCAAATGTTCTGTGTTTAAAGGAACGCCTTGCCATTCTCTTGTGGTCCATCAGGCTTTGTGTTTCTGCACTTGGAGATCAGAACCATGGCAGATTCTGCCTGAAACTAGGCCCACATCCTTTGCTCCCATATCACTGGAAGCTTCTCAAGCTTCCCTAGGACCTCTGCCTGTTATCCCTCATCCTGCCACTAGTGGGAGTCCAAGGCATGGGTTCTATGTTCCCGTGGGTCTCACAGAGAACCTCCATCTGTCATGAAGAAGCAAAGAACCCGACTTCCATCCCTCCCTCACAGGCCCTCCAAGGTTTCTCTGCTGTATCATTAGAGGAAATTCTCTCTGTGTTACGAGTTCCCTTCTCAACAGCTTTCCTCACTGAAGTTCTACTAACTCTAGTGCCTGGTCTGGCACTCCCAGGGAGAGGAGGGCCTTTGTCCTATTGGGAAACATACAAGCAACAGCTTCCACCTTTGATGGTTACATCTGCTCTGCCCCAGAGTTTTTGGTCCATCTAGTGAATGAGGAGAGAGAAATCCTGGATGGAGAAAGCAATCACCTGTCTACCATTTGAAAACCACACTGATCACAGAGCTGGAGGCTTCCATTCAGCTTAGCTCAGTGACTTTGTTCAGCCTAACAGCGGCCTCACTTCACAAGGTCTTTCTGGTCTTGATATGAGGATGGACCCTGCCTCTTGCCCCAAAGGCCAACCACAATCAGGAAGAGAGGAGACCTTTGGGATACTGCACACTTGAAAGACTTCTCTGCTCCTATCTGTTTTTCCCAAGCAGAGCTGACCTTGTCATGGCACACATGTTCAGTACCAAGAAGAGCTGAGGCAAATGCCCATGGCAGAGGGATGAATGCATCGGAACCCCTGAGGCTTCTCACATGACAGCCTGTGCCCAGCTTACCTGCTCCAAGCAGGTCCTCAAGGCTCGCTGACAGCCGGACAGCCTCAGTGAGCAGTCGTCGGAAGCCCTGCCCCGTACAGGTCTCAGGGTCATGCACGGTGAGCACGTCCTTCAGGTACTGCTGCAGGATGTGGGCTAGATTTCTCCCCCTTTGGACCTTTGGATGTAACTGGGAAAGTTCTTGGTCCTGTTCTTCAAGGATGCCACGGCAATGCCTAAGGTGCAAGAGTGGAGAAAGTTCTAGATGGGAAGGAATGAGTGTTAGGCTCTCTGTGTTTCCACAGATTTTCATAACAATGCCTTATAGAGCCCTCCACCAGCATCACCACTCAGGTTTGGAGAAATACCTGTGCCAAGAAAAGCAAAGGGCAACACAAGGCCTTGCTCCCACTTTTAGAGAAAGATCTTGTCACAATTCCTGAGATTCCATGCAGGTGATGTTCTTTCAAGAGTGCAAGGATTCTTCCTTCCTCGCCTTCATAAAGGTGCTAATTCAGTTCCTCCTTCCAGCCACAGGCATTTCCATGTAGGAAGACACACAGTGTACAGTGCAGTGACTGGGAATCATGGTACACGCAGGGGTTACACGGCAAGAAACAAGAATGAAGGTCTGGCAGGGCCAAGCTAAGCATCAGTCTTCTATATCAGGAGGTGATGGTGACTAAGGGTAAATGAGGATTGATTGCAAGGTGACCAAACAGAGGAGCCCAGCATCCCCTGCTCCTCCCCCGAGAAGACCCAATGCAGCTCCATCTTGAGTTGAGTGCCCACAGAAAAACACCTCCACACTAAGGGAACCATGAGAACACGGGAGGAAGAGAGAACAGGCATAGCACCACCTACAGAGGACCAAAGCTAACTGGTGACTGGATTCCCAGAAACACAGCCACGGGGATTTCCTGTTGCAGAAGAGAGAGTAAACAGCAGGGCCCCATGGGAGCCCATCCACCTGCACACCTTACTTACAGACTCTCCGCACTTGCAGCTCTGAATTCAGATTCCTCTGCTCCCTCCTTGTTTCATAACATCTGAGACACGGGGTTTGCTGTAACTCTCTGCCCTTGTTTGGCACAGGCTGGCTCAGTTTTTGATTTGGGCTGCCACTAGTGAAACACATCCCCACCTGCCTGCCCTACACAGAGAGCCTTATCTGAACAGCTCAGCAGACCTGGGCTGCTTTGGCAGGGGCCTCCCCGTGTAGCTTCTTGGTCAACACGGACTCCATGATGTCTTTTTTTATTATTATTATCTATTCATACCATTTCATTTGGGAAATAAACAGTAATTGAAGAGGGAAAAATGTATTTTCATTTTAATTTCTCCTGAAGGGAGAATTTTTTCAAAGTACCTATTCACTTTTACTTTCATTGTAAAATTAATTTTTAACATTTCTTTTAAAAATTTATTCATTCTTTTATTTTAAGGAATATACTTTTCATAAGACAACTTTAGGAATATAGTTATTCTTCTCCCCATACCCAGGGTACCACCCACACTCCCAGCCCAGCTCCTCTTCCCTCTCTACTTCTCAATCTCATTCTCCATTAAGATGCATTTTCAATGAACTTTGTACACAGAAGACCTACTCTATATTAAGTAATGATTTCAACAATTCCCACACACACCCACACAAGAATAAAAACTGTTTGAGAAATGGTTCACTGTAACTCTCTCTTAATAGAACTCATTGAGAACAGAGGTCCTGCATGGGGAGTCAGTGCACAGTGACTCCTGCTGTTAATTGAACAATTAGCACTCCTCTGTATGTTGTCAGGGACCACACAGGCTCATGACATGAGCTGACTAGGCTATGGAAGCATTTTGAAAACTCTGTCTGTATTTAGACAAGGCTGTCAGCAAAGTGGAAGTTCTCTCCTCCCTTAGAGAAAAGTGCATCCTCCTTTGATGGCCACTTCTTTGTCTGGCGTCCCACAGTGATCCTACATGGAGAACATTGTTTGCCACAGTGCCTTCATGGCTTTCCATGCCTGAGATGCCTCAGTTCTCCCTTCTGAGCTGCCCCACTGGAGACACCCACACACCTCCCCACCTGCCTGCCCCACACAGACACCCTTACCTGAGCAGCTCTGGGACCGTGGGCTTCTCTGCCAGCGGCTCCTCCAAGTGGAGCTTCTTGGTCAGTATGGACTCAATGATGTTTTTAAACTTCTCACAATCTGCGGAAAGACACACACGCAGAACTCAGAGAGGTGCTTTTGTAGTCAGTGCCTGCTGAAGACCAAAAGAACTCCAGGGCCAGGCTCCAGATTGGGAGTTTCACATCTGTATTTCATCACCTCACTACATAGCATCTGAAATTTCCTATTTTTAAAAGATTTATTTATTTATTTATTTGAAAGGCAGAGTTACAGAGAGACATAGGCAGAGAGAGAGAGAGAGAGAGAGAGAGAGAGAGAGACTCCATCAGCTGGTTCACTCCCCAAATGGCTGCAAGGTTGGAGCTGTGCCAATGTGAAGCCAGGAGCCAAGAGCTGTTTCTAGGTCTCCCATGTGGATGCAGGGCCTAGCCACATTGGTTATCTTCTACTGGTTTTTAGGCCATAGCAGAGAGCTGGATTGGTAGTGGACCAGCCAGAATTGAACTAGTACCCATATGGGATGCCAGCACTGCAGGCAGCGGCTTTACCTGCTGAACCACAGCACTGACCCTGCTATTTCCCAATAAAATGGGAAAAAAGGACTTCAAAGATACAGAAGGTGACTTGACAATGTGATTCCACTGGTGTTTACAGAATCAGAGTTCCCAGCCCCTGAGCTCAGACTGAATCATGAGCCACTGGACTCAGCAAGTCTTGCAGCCTCTCAGGTCAAACAGGAACCTGGGGCATGAAGTCGTCACCTTCTGTATGTTTGGGAGCTTGATAAGGGTGTAGGACTGTTTCCTTGCATTGGGAAAGATTCCAAGTGTTTGTTATTTCAGACTTAAGGGACCATGTTTCATGGAACTGTGTAGAGTACAATGTATAACAAAGTAAGGCCCTGAGGCAATATGGCCCAATAAAAAGTATAGTTCCTGCTAAATTAGAAACAGTACAATAAGGGCCTCATGGATTCTGTTGATCTTGAGCAAGGAACCATCCTTGGAGCTGTATAGGAAAGAAGGAGCGCATTTGGTTGTGACAATCTACAGAGGCAGGCATTATGATAACTCCTATGAGTGGGAGAGAAATTGAAGTTACAGAGAAGGTGGGCAATGGGGGCACCCAGGCGAGTGGCCCTGATTCCCCCCCCCCTACACCCTGTGCTCCCACTCCCAGGTCTCAGGCACCGTCTTCCTCTTCTGGGAGAAGAACTTGTGCTCCAGGAGCAGGACTTTTCTCCCAGTGGGGAGGCTGTGTTGTGAGGGTGTTCTCATGGATACCAGAGTTCCAGTGCACAGGAGACTCTCTGTCTCTCTGGAAGCACATCCTGCTCACTCTGAACACATGTCCACTCCTGACCTAGGACAGTGCTCTGCCAATGGGAACTCAACGGAAGCTTGAATTGAGTGATATGCGTTAGCCCCAGAAATGAGGCCCACAGGGATGGTATAAGGCTGCAGGAGCTAACACAGACAGGATGATCATAAACATGCACTCAATATGGTGGAGCCTGAGCCTGAGGACAACAGGCAGCTCTATGCCTCATCAGGAATCCATGACAGATTCAGCACTCCTGTCACCCTACAACTCACTGCTACCTTGGAAAACTTGCGAAACCCTGTGTGTCAGCTTGGGAGTGTGGTCAGGAGGAAATTAAGTTCAGCAAAAAGAAGACAACAATCACGTAGTGAGGTAAAACATTTAGTCCTCAGGAGAAGATACAGGACAATCATCACTGTGGTGAAATGACCCGAGAGAACTTACTGTATTTTTTCAGCTCCCTGGCCAGGGCAAAGTTTGTAGCCTCAGCTATGAGAAACTTCTCCTGGAGCTCCCAGCAGTCCTGTTGGCTCTTTGCCAGCTGGGATCGCAATTGCTGGCATTCGAGGTCGTTCAGTTCTGCCACGGGATCTGATGCAGGGCTGTGGGATCCTGCCATGCTGATGGTGTGTCACAGCAGGACAACAGGGACTGGGGAGAGGAAACCCAAACACAGGTGAGGGTCAAACAAATGACATCCAAGAGTTTCAGGTAGGCTTGAGGGGTGACAATAACTATCCAGCATCACTTACTGATGTGAAACACCTGATCCACAGCCCGACAACACTGGGAAGTTCTTCACTGGACAAACAAGGATAAAACTGCCAAAGCCTAGATTCAAGGCACTGCCTGTAGCTCAGTCTCTGCTAGGACTGGCTGTTGTGTGGCAGCTAACGGTCTGCCGTTGCCATCGCAGAATTAGAAGGTGGAGCGTGTCACGGAATCTTTGGAACTCTGCCTTCCAGGGGCCTAAGCTAGGTTGAGGCACAAGACCCCCACTGGTGGGGACAACCTACCCATCTGCCAGTCTTATAGTTATAGATCCTGCACTGATACCACACACTGTGTCCCCAAATCACCTAAGCATGTATCGCTCGTATAGTCATGTATGTGTATGAAAATACCAAGGCAGAAAATGTGTCCCAACAAGCCTTCCTTTCTCAGGGCTGTTAGGAAGTCACCCCACCTGCTGTTTAAAGAGATCTCAAGGCTTTTCTACTTGTTTGAAATGGTGAATTTTAAGCTTCCCTGATAAATGGGTCATTTTATTATCTTAGAAAGGAATTTTGAGAGCTCTTTTAGTTTTCTGGATAGAATTGTTATATTAGATATGCAATTTCAAAAAGTTTCTCCCTATGTTGGCCTGTATATTCATCTTCTTATCAATGACTTTGAACAGAAAATTTGAACATATTAATTTGAACATATTTGAACATATGGAAATGAAAATGTTCTTTGTTTAATTATACTTATTTGAGATGTAAAGATAAAGATGTAGAGAGACATACACACAGAGAAACACAACCAAAACTATGTGTTACATTACTATTTCACTCCCCCAAAGCATGCAACAGTCAGGCTTGGCCAGGGTGACACTTGGTGTGCAGAACTCCAATTTGTTCTGCAAATGTATGGGAAGAACCTAATGCTTTTAATAATATATTTATATATAATTACTGCAACTAATTTTATAATGATGGCAAACTTATTTTGAGGAATATGGGTGTTACATATTTGAAGTAGTTTTTTAAATTAACTTCTTATTTAATATTGTATCTATGGCATAAATGCAATGTTAAGAACATAGTCCTTCTTCCCACCTACCTGCCCTCCCACCTATTCTCCCCCCCTTCCTCCTCCAACCCTCCTGTTTAGTCTGAGAAAGAAAAAAAGACAGAATGGAATAAGAAAACTAAGAGAACTGTTACTCAACAGCCTAGCAAAGGGCTGTCCAAGGTTGCTGCTTCTCAAAGGGGATTTCACTTTTTGCCCCCTTCTGCTATTCCCTTCCTTCTTCCCCCTTCTTTCCTTTTAGAAACTTAATTGTCTTCAAAGAAGAACCCACGGATGATACATCTGCTGTGAGCTCTTAGACAGAACTATAACCTATGAGACATAAGAATATCCTCCATTTAATGCACTAAAAAGAAGTGATTCAGGAGAACAGTTCTACTATTAGGTCCCTTGATACAGCTTTGAGGACAGAGGGCAGTGCACAGTGGCTCTCACTGTGTCTTTAACAAATCACACTCTTATGTCTGACCTCAGTGCTCACCCAGGGCACTTGTCATGAGCTGCCTCAGCTACAGAAGCCTTCTGGACCCACCTAGCTCGACAAGGCCATAAGCAAAGAGGAAGCTCTCTCCTCCCTTCAGGGAATGTGCATCCTTCTTTAGTGGACACTTCTTTCCACTTCAGTCTCACCCACAGGCATCCTATATGTAGGGCCTATATGTGAGCATTGCAAAAGCCACTTAATTGCTGAATGAAATGCCAGTCCCAAAAGCTGCACATTTTAAGATTTCCATTTGAGTGGATGATCAAAACTGGTTTTTGTTTTTTTTTTTTGAAATTTTAAATCTGATGTCTAAATAGATGTAGGAGTCTCCACTGTGGTATAGTGGGGTAAGCCACCACTTGAGACACTGGTCTCCTCTATGAGTGCTGGTGGAGTCCCAGCGGCTCCACTTTCAGCTGATCCAGCTCCCTGTTGAGGTGCCAGGGAAAGCAGTGGAACATGGCTTATGTCCTTGGCCCTTGAGCTCTTGTGAGATACCCAGATGGCATTTTGGGCTCCTGGCTTTGGCCTGGCTCAGCCCTGGTTGTTGTAGGCACTTGGGGAGTGAAACAGAAGATGCAAGGTCTCTCCCTCTCAGTGTGTGTGTGTTCCTCTCTGTCTGTAACTCTGCTTTTCAAATAGAATAATACATCTTTTAAAATAATTATTAAAATATTCAAAAATGATATTGTAATGTACATATCCATAGTGTAATGATTCCTCTAGACTAGTAAATAAAATATTCATCATCTCACAGTTAACCGTTATGTGCCTGCACATGGTAAGAACCCACAAAATCTACTGTTAGAAAATTCTCAGACTTTCTCATTCTAATGGAGAATAGCATGCTCCACTAATAACTCAGATTCTCATGCTTAACTTCAGAACCCTAGATTTAGTTCTTCTCTATAACTACCACTTTGTACTCTTGGGTCAACATTTCTCTATTCTTCCCACCAGACTGCACCACCTTGAAGACTTCTCTTATATTCTCTGTTTTGACATATTCAACAATTTTCCATTTTTTCTTTCAGACTCCACACATAACAGACTTCATGCAGTGTTATTATTTCTATATCTCATTTATTTCACTCACCATAATGTCCTCCAATTTCATTCAGTTTCTCACAAATGACAGGAGTTCCTTTATCTTTGAGTTGAACAGCATTCCATCATATAAATATATATATTTAAGCATCATCATACATCTATCATGTATAATGTATTGTTACACATTATATGTATATAGATATCTATACACAGACATGTTAAGTATGATTCAAAAGCTTCAAGTGATTCCAAAGTGTCATGGAAATTCTGTAGTATCCTTTTATTAAAATATACTTTTCAAGCCATATATATGGACAGCAAGATTGCTTAACCAACCTTCTGTTGATGGACATTTAGGCAGTTTGCATCTTGGCCTCTGTGAATAAGGCATCGACTAGGGATTGCAGGTATATATCTGATACGGTTTTTTGTTTCTTCTTTTTTTGCACATATACCCATAAGGAGGATGAATGGGTCATTTGACAGTTCTAGTTTAACATTTCAAAAATACTTCAATAATGTTTTCTATAATGGCCATACCACTCAACATTCTCACACAAATGTAAAAGTGTTTCCTTTTTGGTACACCCTTGCCCACATTTATTCTCTCTTGTCTTTGTGAAAGCAGCTGACCATATGGTTCTGAGGGGATATCCCTCTGTGGTTTGGAATGGTGTTTCCCTGATGAGTACTGATAATGGGCAACTTGTCATAAACCTGGTAGCAATGCATATTCCTTTCATGGAGTAATGTCTACTCAGGTCCTTTGCCAATTTCTCAGATGAATGATTAATTATTTTGGCTACTGAGTTCTGTGAGTGCTTTCACACTATAGCACAGAGAAAGCAAAAGCCTTGTGAACAATGTACACAGGTCTTGGCCCCATGTGGGGATCGTGGGGATCCTTACTTTGGGGCCGTGTGACTGCACCACTGCCATTTTATTGGATTGTGCAGTGTGTTGCATGGCGGAATTGAGCATGGGTGGAAAAATGTACCTAGCTGAAGAGGGCAGGAAGGGTGTGCCTTCTCTCTCTCTGCCTCTTTTTTTTTTTTTTTTTTTTTTTGGTGGTGACACTGAAGTTACCAGGATCTCTAGCTTGCATGGAAAGCTTGTGTTCAGCATAAACCTGCTCTGATTCCATCCAGGGATCTCCCTGGCCAGGTGCACAGGTTCACTGTGGAGTCAGTTTCTCTCCTGACCTCAGTGCTCATGGAAGGTGGCTCCTTCAGGGGCTGGACAGTGGAGTAGGCCTTTCTGAGTATCCCCTGAGGTTTCTGACACAATGTGTCCTTCATCTCACCCACACTTGGTTTCACCCTAACATTACCTTGTCATTCTCTGGGTCATTCTCACGTCCCAGAGAGCTGCTCATCTTCCTTCATCTGCACCTTCAGTTCTGGGTTCTCAGGATGTGGACTCAGTTCTGGATCTGGGAGGAGACACAGGAGGGACTAGGTCAGCTCTCAGCCTCAGTTCCCAGGGCACGTGTGGTTCCCCAGGGACTCAGAGGAACCTAAGCAGCAGGACCTCAGAGAGGAACAATACACACTTTACCTCACTGATGAGGAACCTGGGGTCCATAGAGACTAAGAGGTTGTCTCAGCACCACAGCTGATGGAAGGAGAGCCACCCCATGAGCTTTGACCTCCAGCTTCCCTGTGCTGAGCATGGCTCTTGTCTTCCAAGAATGCATTGTTGGGTTTTGTAGACTTCAGATAAAGCACTGCTATTTCTGCTGCCTAAAAACAACAAACAAAGTATGAGGGTCATTCCTTGGACACAGCTTTTCCCACATTTCTATTGTCCCATTATGTATTCTCTGTCTGTTTTCAATCACTGGGTGATAGAATGGGAGCAGAGAATACATACGGTGAATGAGTATTCAACACAGCCCTGCCTGTCCTGTGCGGTCCCTTACCTCTGGAATTCTCCCTCAGGTTTTCTCCTCTGCTGCAATGGTGGAGAGTGTCAGACCTCATGGAGGTCATTTCTGTATGGAGATCCATGTTCTTCTTTTTGTCTCCTGGAGTCAGAGAGAGTAGAGATTCATTCTGGACCTCTGTGGACCCAGCTTTTCTGCGAGGCAATGCTGCTAGTTTCAAAGATAAAAAATTAAAAACCACAATGACCAACAGAAATCAGGTCAATAAAGATTTTCCTGAGGTGCCTGAGATCGTGAGAACAGCCCCTGGTAGAATGTGGTCAGAGCCAAGCACGGGGCATTGGCAGACTGACTCAGGTAAGGTGTATGTGCAAAACAACCAAGAGAAGGCTGCTAACACCAGGAAGAAGACACACATCAGAGGAGTGTGAGAAGAAAAGACAAGTACTGGCTCAAATGAAGAAGGAAGTATCACAGGCTGAGACCCAGAGGCAAGGCCCCACATCACAGAGGATTAGTCCTCAGCCTTGAAACCTATCCCAGGAAGTCCTGTTGGATTTGCCCATCTTAACTTGAAAACTTTGGATTCATGACTTCCTTGTAGGCTCCATTTTTGCCCTTGCTGAATTAGAGTCACTGTCATTGTCACCCTATGTCCCCTGCAGATGGGGCAGAGAAGCAGTGTGTTTAATGTCAGAGTAGCACAGATGGAATGGATCACACACAGCATCCACACGTAACAAACACCTCCAACTCACTCACATCCCCCTTCATGACCCAGGGAAATCCCACATTCCTGCTGTGAGGCCTCCACCTGACAGGGGAAGTGTTTCCATTCCTTATGTGTTCTGGATTAGTAATTCTTTATTAGCTACATAGTGTGGAATTCCAAAATCAATGGCCTTATTATATACTCAACCATCATGATGAGAATTGGTAAGTGCTATCTAATTCTATACAGATACAAAAAATTAAATACCTTGTGATAAGTTCAACCAGCATGTGAAAGTCCTCTTCAATGAAATTCAAACACATTGAATCTAATGAAAGAAAATGAGGCAGACACAAAATAATGGAATTCCCTCATATATTCTATATTTGGAAGAATTAATATTATTAAAATATCAAAACTACCCAAAACAATTTAGAGATTCAATGTAGTCTCCATCAAAATACTGATGACATCCTCACAGAATAAGAAAAAAATCTTAAAATTCTTATGAAAACACAAAAGGCTCTGAATACTCAAAATATTCTTAGCACAATGAAGCCAAAGATGGAGGCACCACAGTTCAAAATTAAAGATATGCCACAAGGCTATTGAGACCAAAACAGTATGGTACCAACATAGCAATAGACATATAGGACAATGGAAAAAAAGAGAACCCCTAGAAATTCACACACCTACATCCCTACACTTACTTTTGACAAAGGTGTGGAAAACATTCCCTGGAGATATGCACATCTATTTTAATGGGACTGGGAAAATAGATTTTAATTTACAAAAATCAACTCAAAATGGATCATGATCTAAATGTAAGATCTGAAACTATGAAACTAACAGAAGAAAACAAGGAGCAAATGCTCTAAGAAATGGGCAGAGTCAACACAGGTTTTGGGCTAAGACCACAAGAACATGGACAATAAAAACCAATTGGAAAAATCTGATGTTATCAATCCAACAAATTTCTGCACAGGTAGAAATATTTTACCAGTTGGGTAAGTGCACCTGCTGTTGTGACATCCAAAGAACTGAGGAATTTTCCTCCTTTGTTATACAGGGACATCATTTGGCCATTTGGAGAATGTGCTTCCCCCATGAGTCACTCTGGTGCTAAGATCTGTCATTGATATTCAGTTTGATTCCTGGGTGACACAGCAGGACCAAAGAACACTGAAAGGATCAAGTAGTGATTGCAGTCAGACACAGAATGAGTTTCTGTGACCACCTCTAGACCATCAGGCACCTATGCCAGAAAAGGGTCTTCCTGAGACAGGAGCACTGTCTGCCTTGTGCAGTTCCTGTCCCAGAGCCTCTGCAAGTGACTTGGAATAAGGAGTCACTGCCACTATCAAGACACATGACAGAAAACCCACTGGAAAAAGAACATAGGGTACTCACAACAAAATGATGAAATTTCTAAAAATCAAGTTCTTACCCATCCCTTATCCATAATAACTGTGAATGTCAACAGACAACATTACCCAGTTACAAGATACAGACAGGATGACTGGATGAAAACCAAGACCCAACCACAAGTCGCCTACAAGAAACACATCAGTAAAGACAGAGACTGAAAGGGAAAGGATGGGAAAAGATGCTTCATGCTAATGGATATCAGATGTGAGCAAGAGTACCTATGGTTGGATCAGATAAAATAGGTTTGATGATAAAAACTGGAACAAGAGATGACTGGTTGCTATATGATTATCAAGGGTTTGATCCAACAAGAAGATGTGACAATGGTAAGTGCATAGCACCCATTGCTGCAGCACCACTAATTATAAAACAAAATTATTACATCTAAAGGACACATGAATTCTAATGTAGTAATAGTGGGGGACTTCAACACTCACCTTTCTTCGACAGGAAGAGATCACCTGGAAAAAAATTAACAAGCATCAGAGAGAAACTACTACAGACCAAATGGCCATAACAGATGAGTACAGATATTTCACTCCACAGCTGCAGAATACACCTTCTTTTCATCTGCACATGGAACATGGATGCTATAATACTAGAAATCAACAATTGCAAGAACCCCCAAAGGTATGCAAATACATAAAGGCTGGATAAGAAACCAAGAGGGAAATTTCAAAATTCCATGAGACTAATTAAAATGGAAGCACAACACACTGAATCTACAGGAAATTCTAAAAGTAGTATGCAGAGGAAAGGTTATGGGATTAAGTTCCTACATCAAATAATTAGAAGGACTTCCAATAACCTAACAAAGTATCTCAAAAATCCTAGTAAACCAGGAGCAGACCAATCCCAAGTCAGTGGAAAGAAAGAATAAGGAAGAAGGCAGAAAGAAAGGAAAGAGCGACAGAGAAACGAGGGCCTCACACACAAAATCCAGAACACTGCAGGAACCCAACACGCAGTGTCGTCCACCGTGCAAGACTCGTGTGCTCACACTGCTGTTGTCTGATTATCTCAGAACAGAGCAGTCATCCAATACAAGAGAACACAGACCATCCCATTGATCACAGCCTTTCCAGGCCTATTGAGTGTAATCTGAGTTGATAAAATCTCACAATAAAGAGTTAAGTGCTGGTAAAAGTTAACAGAAGGTAACAGGGGCTGTCTAGTTTCTGCAAGGGGGTATAGAAAAGAACATTCTCATCAGTGGCTGCGAATGTGAATGGGAAAATCTTCTTGCCAGGCAATGGGGCCAGAACAGCACCATCAGGAATGTACCAGAACTTTGATCTTGCAATTCCCTTTACAGGATACAACCTGGAGAAGTATCTTCACAATTAATAAGGGACATACCAAATATATGTAGATGATGCTCCTTGAGACATTATTAATATACTAAACATTTAAATCATTTGAGGAACATTAACTTATGTGAGTAGAATGGTCCATCACACCATGAACAGTTATCCATTGTCTAAGACAAGGAAGAAGAGTCTGAAAGAGCAGAGGGTGATGGACTGGTAAGAACTAATGTGACTGAGCAGTTACTGTGTGCTAGACACAGACAGGCCTCAATGCTTTGCCCCTACATCTCATTAAAATGTTTGCCAAGCCATGTAGAAAGTACTCCTACTTGTCCATTTCTTAGTGTCTTCTCTACCATGACTATTATGAAACACCAGTGAAAGAACCTGAAGCAGACACAAACACTAGAAAGACATCCATGTCCACGGATTACAAGAATTAACATGATGAAAATTTCTACTCTACCCAATGCAATTTACAAATTCAAGGCAATCCCCACAAAAATAGGAAGCACATTATTCATATGACCAGAAGAAGCACCTAAGAATTTATGTGGAAAAAGCACAAAAGACACAGGGTGTTGTTTTCACCCTATTGGAGGAGGGATCCTTCCCACACATCCCTGCAATCTCATTAATGTGAGCATGGGGTTCAGGCAGGATTTCTCCACATCTGATTTAAAGTAGAAGGAGATGGGGCCCGGCTATGGCTTTGTAGGGGAAGCCTCTGTCAGTCGGGCCAGGATCCCGTGTGGAGCCGGTTCATGTCCAGCTGCTGCTCTTGCAATTCAGCTCTCTGCTTACAACTGGAGAGCAGTGTAAGATTGGCCCTAAGGGCTTTGGCCCCATGCACCCATGTGGGAGCCCGGATAAATCCTGGCTTCAGATCAGCCCAGAGGAAAGGCATTGAGGCCATTTCGGTGGTGAACCAGCAGATGGAAGCCCTTTTTTCTGTCTCTCCCTCTCTCTGTAGTGATAACCCTCAAATAAATAAATAAATAAATAAATCACACACACACACACACACACACACACAACAAGTAGAGAGGATAAGGATGGAGAGAACAGGTGCAGAACAAACTGAATGACTCAAACCCCGGGGAGGAGCTGGCTTGGGCCCAGCAACCTTTCAGGGAAGAGATGAGTGAACTAGTGTGGCCCACGGGAAAAGACACTGCCCTGGTTCTTCTTCTTTTAATAATTATTATATTTTATTTGAAAGACAGAGTTACAGAGAGAGGTCGAGCCTGAGAGAGAGAGAGAGAGGTCTTTGGTTCACTCCCCAAATGACAACAATGGCCAGAGCTGAGCTGATCCAAAGTCAGGAGCCAGGAGCTTCTGCCAAGTCTCCCACACCAGGGCAGAGGCCCAAGGACTAGGGCCATCTTTGGCTGCTTCCCAGGGACACAGCAGAGAGCTGCAGAGCCAGTGGAGCAGCCCCCATGGAGGTCGGGGCTACAGGCTGGGGCTCTAACCTGCTGTGCCACCTGGCTGCTGGACCCTGCCCTTCTGTGCACGCCCTGTCCCCCCCACGCTGCAGCTCCTGGGCTCCTCTCCTTAGTGTGACTGCGCCAGCTCCAGAGCCTCTGAGCCCAAGACAGTGCGGGATGACCTGCAGCCACCTTAACCTCACTTCCTTAACTGCACTTTAACCCTCAGAGACTTCTGCCTGCAACAAAGTTATACACTACAAGTCAGGACGCAGGAGGCAAGGCCTCCTCTCTAAGAGAAAAGACAGCAGGATTCTAGCTCCTGGAGTCTGCTAAGTTTCAAGTCAGTTTCTCGGCACAGCACCGGAAACGCCGTGGGACGGGCCTGTGCTGTGTCCTGGTGGGCTAAGCCTCCGCCTGCAGGGCCGGCTTCCCCCATGGGCGCTGGTTCCTGTCCCGGCTGCTCCCCTTCCGTTCTGGCTCTCTCCTAATGGGCTGGGGAAGCCATGCAAGATGGCCCGAGGGCTTGGGGCCTGCTCCTGCCTGGGAGACCCCTTGTAGTGGCCATCTGGAGAGCGAACCAGAGCATGGAAGACCTTTCTCTCTGCCTCTCCCCTCTCTGTAATTCTCTCTCTCCCATGAATAAACACAACAGTAAGAATGAAAGGCCTGGAGTTACAAACAAGAGGCTGTGGTCCCGGAGAGCGCCCCTGCCGCCCGGGCTCCGCAGCCCCGCGGCCTCCTCCAGGGGCCCGGCCCTTCCCGCCCTCCCGGGAGCTGTGGGCGCGGCTCCCGCATCCTCCTCCCGAGGAGCGGCGTCCTGAGCCTGGGGCGGCCCCGTCCTCCTGGAACCCTGTCCCTCGGCGCGGGGTCCGCCCCGCGTCCGCGGTTCCCTGTCTTCTCCTCTGACTCCGGTTCCGGAAGGCGGCCCTCAAGTGACCCCGCACCGCTGTCCCCGCTCCGGAGCCCTGGCGCGGGGTCCTCCATTGTCCACAGCTCTGTTTTCTGAAGCGGGGTCCGCATCCGGGTTCCCCAGGGGGGCGGCAGCCCCAGGGCCCTCGCGGCCTGCAGGCCGGGCTGGGGGTCATCGATGGCGCCCTCGGGGCGCAGGGGCCTGGGCTGTGTGAGGGCTGAGGGCAACGGGTGGGTGGGCGGGGCTTGCGGAGGGCGGGAAAGCGCCGGGCCGCGCGGCGGTGGGCGTGGCCTTGGGAGCGCGGCGGCTCCGGAGGCTGAGGGCCGCGGTGAGGCCCTGGGGTGGGGCTCTGGGCGCTCTGGGGCCCTGGCGAGGAGCGCGCGGTGCGGGCTGAATGGAGCACGGAGGGGTTTTGTGTGTTTGCGTGCTTGCTTGTTTTTTGAAAAAGTCTGTCTTTTGGAAACAGTCACTATTCTGGCCCTGAGTGAGGGACAGGCACTGGTTTCTGCTTTTGAAACAACTTCCCTACACTAGGTGGTTTCCTGTGTGCAGGCCTGGTCACACTGTGCTGTGTGCTCAGAAGGCGCCTTCTGTGACCCCCCCCCCCGGGCGCCCCCTACAGACTCAATGATACTTTGTCTTTCTTGGCCTCTCAGCTCAGTGTCCTCCTACCAAAGGGCCCACTGGGCCCATCTTCACCTTCCTCTCCCTCTGTTTATCTTGGAAACTCTCTGAGGACAGTGAGTTGGAGCAATGACAGGGCTCACCCGCTGCGTTCCTGTCACTTCTTTTTGCTAGCTGTCAAGGATCTTGAAAATACTCTATTTTGTCTGTTGCTGTGGTTGCTGTTATTTTTAGTTCTTTCGGGCAGGAGAGCTAATTCTTGTTGCTGCAGCACCCCTACTTCAAGAATTCAAAGTTGGGGGCCATCATGGTATAGGGGATACAGCTGCTGCCTGTGACACCAGCATTCTGTTCGGGCACTGGTTCCTGTCCCAGCTGCTCCACTTCTGATATAGCCCTGGTAATGGCCTGGGAAGAGCAGCATGATGGCTCAAGTGCTTGGTCCTGCCACCCATGTGGGAGCCTGGACAAAGCTCCTGGCTCCTGGTTTTGGCCTGGCCCAGCCTTGGCTGTTGCAGCCAATTGGGGAATGAACCAGTGAGTTCAAGATTTTTTTTCTCTCTCTCTTTCTGAAACTCAGATGTTCAAATAAATAAGTAAATCTTAAAAAAAATTCAAAGTTGGAGAATGCCTATCTGGATTCTGAAAGGGGCTTTCACGGAATGCAGAAAACAACCACAGCCTGTGCGAAAGCTGTAACTAGGAAGACTTTAAAAAGCACCTTGCTTGTTCTAAGGACATTTTCTGCTTGACCCTATATGTGTGTGTGTGGGGGGGGGAGGTGCAGAAGCCCCACCAGCCCTGCCCCAGGAGCTGAGTAGACGTCCCTATGAGATCCATGGTGAGAGCCTGTCCTTTGGGAGTCACCCCCTATGAACCTTCAGCCTTGTTCACTGCTGCTGTCCTAAGGGAAGGAGGAACAATGACTACAGCAGGCCACATGGACATCTCAACCTTCTCTGAACTTTTTGGGAGATTTTCATGAATAACAACCCATGCTAAGCTGACCTGTGTTCCCTGGAGAGCCAGGGAAGCCATGCCCTTGGCCTTAGGCTTCATCCAGGACCCTCACTGGGTACTCAGAGTCCCCTGGAAGAGAAGGTTCCACTCTGAAGGTCTTTCTCTCCATATTGCAGGAACAATCAAGTGTGTTATTGGCTAAGCTGCAGACCCAGCACTGGGTATTGTCTGCAAGTTGGTGTGATTGCTGTGCCCATGACAGAGGGTCAGAATGGAAGCAGGAGGGAGACGTGGCCAGGTGAGACATCTGAAACATCTGGCCCAGGTGGGTGAAGACTTGCAGGTGTTTTGCCCCCTTCTGCATAGTGGGGAAGGCTGGGTGAGTGTGAGGAGAGGTGACCAGTGATGGTGTGGTTACAGAACTCTCAAGGAACTGCAGGCCCTGACAATTGAAATCACAATTAGAGGAGGAAGAAGGGTAGGAGTGCGGGTGGGAGGGAGGGTAGGATGGGAAGAATCACTATGTTCCTAAATTTGTATATATGAAATTCATTAAGTTTGTATACCTTAAATAAAAGGTTCAGGGGGGCTATCAATTAAATAAGAAATGCCAGACAAGGGGAAACTCAGCTCCTCTACTACTACAAATTTTGCTGGCTGAGACTGCACACTATGTCCCCTCACAGGTAAGGTCTCTCCTCCACAGGCAGGAAATTGGAGGATTCTGACTCTCCCAGAGGACACACACTCCCCTTCCCCTTATCCCTTCAACTGTCTTGTTCATAGCCCTGAGCTCACTCCACACAGCTCTGCCAAGTCAAGTTCTAACAGCATCTCTGGCCTACTTCTACAGCTCTGGGATTGGTCATTAAGTGGCTGCCTAACCAGTAGCCCTGTGCTGCCTGATCAACATCAGACACTCCCCACTGATGACATCCAAGACCTCTCATTTTCCCCAAGATACACCCCACCCTCTACCCACCTCTCTCCTCCACTCTGCACAGCTGCCCCTGGGGAGCACACACCCAAGGGGGCAGTGACATCAACATCTCCACCCACTTCAGGTGCCCAGGCATCCATGGCAAGTTAAAGAGGTTTCTTTCTCTCTTCTTTGGGTGCTTAATCTTTCTCCCAAGTTACACACCAAGGAGAGGCATTCTAAGATCTCTATTGTGTCCATACAAACCTTTTAAGTATAGGAAAAAGGATGTGAAACAATGTATAAAAATTATAACATTTCTATGAACAGAATAAAAGTTTATGTGGGGGCTGACGCTGTAGCATAGCATGTAAAGCCACTTCCTGCAGTGCCGGCATCCCAGTGTGGGCAACAATTCAAGTCCCGCTGCTCCACTTCCAATCCAGCTCTCTGTTTTGGCCTGGAAAGCAGTGGAAGATGGCCCAAGTCCTTGGGCACCTGCACCCATGTGGGAGACTTGAAGGAACCTCTGGCTCCTAGCTTTGGATCCGCTTAGCCCTAGCTGTTGGGACCATTTAGGAAGTGAATCAGCAAGTGGAAGACTGTTGCCTCTCCTCTCTCTCTCTCCTTCCCTCCCTCCCTCCCCCTCCCTCCCTCTCTGTGATGCATGAAGGGACCCTGTATGGGTCCAGGGTTATTGCTCAGAGTACCTATGGGTGCATTTTCTGTGTGTATCCTTCTTCCTTCTCTC